CAACATCAACATCAACATCAACAACAACAATAACAACAACAACTATCGACGTTGTGAGCGAGAAGGCGTAGAGAGGGAGGAAGGGTTAACAGGCCATCGGCATAGGCTTCATGTTGGCCACCGCGCTCATTCTTCTCACCGGGCCGGCGAATCGTTTCTCGATCTCCTCGAGCGAACGGCCCCGCGTCTCTGGCACGCAGACGATTACAAACACGAAGCCGACTACCACGATCGTGCCGAACATCCAGAAGGTGCCGTACGGCCCGATCACCGAGACGATGTCCTCGTACGTTTTCGTCACGACGAACGTGCAGGTCCAGTTGAAGGCGGTGGCGACGCTTGCCGCGGAGCCGCGTATCTTCACCGGCAAGATCTCGCCCATCATGAGCCAGGGGATCGGGCCGAATCCAAGGGAGAAGCCGATCACGTAAACGATCAGGCTCAACAGTGGTATCCAGCCGAACGACGTCACGTCCGTACCGCTCGCCTTCACGTAGAAGAACGTGCCGAACGTGAACAGGGTCAGGCACATGGACACGCCGCTTATGTACAGCAACATCTTCCTACCCAGTTTGTCGATTACGCTAGCCGCCACGAACGTCGAGATGAAGTTCACGATACCGACGATGATGGTCGAGACGTTCTCGTCGATGCTGCTTCCAGCATCCTGTGAACAAAATAGATTCAGATCGGTTGCAATATCAACTCGTTCCACGGCCACGCGAATCTCTGACCTCTGACAGCCTATCTGAAATTCATCAATTGCAAAAAATTGTTTCACGGGCGAGAGTGTTGAATGGTCTCGATGCGACGTCCAACTAGCATATTCCTCGCGATCATCGTGTAAAGTAACTTTACGTTCAATGCAAATTACTCTCATTTTCATCGTAAAGAAATAGCTTCTCGAATAAGAAGTGAATCGAGAAGGCGGCAAGGACAATAAGAGTCTCCTTGCCTTCACACACAGTTCAAGTTCCACAAGATTGAAATTAATTTTTGCATTGGGTCTTCGATATCGATAGTACTTAAAACTTAACTTTTCTTTCCCATTGAAACGTTCATCGATTAATCTATTGACGAAACATGGTAGAATTCCATTTACGTAAACTCGCGACGGAACAAATAGTTGACACGATAAGAGTTCATTGGTTCATTGGCCATTTAATTTTCGTTTGTACAACAGCAGCTGAAGAGTCAGCGTTAGAAGAATTTATTCGAATCGAGCATTGACGAAAATTTGACTCGTTTGACAAACGGGGAGATTCCATATCATCGTATATGATATATTGGTCTCTCTACCATCGACACCATTCAACTTTTCAATCATCATATATAATTGCTAGTTTGCAATGCCAGTTCAGCCTGTGATATTACACGAGTGAAGAGTGAAGAGTGAAGAGTGAAGAGAGTAAAAGCTTGCCTTGAAAATTTGAACGGTGTAGAATATGACGGCGTTGATTCCTGAAAGCTGTTGGAAGAACATCAGACCGAGCGAGATCAAAACTGGCTTCAGGTTGTTCTTCTTGAAGACCTCCATCAGCGCGCCCTGCGAGACGTTGCGTTCGCTTTCGGCGTGTAACTTTTGTACGGCGGATAGCTCGTCGTTGATGTCGGTGCCTTTGCCACGCAGCCATTGCAACGATTTCCGCGCTCGTTTCGCCTTACCCTTGGAGATGTACCATCTCGGCGTCTCGGGGATCATGAACATCAGAATCAGGAACGGTATTGGCAAACCGGCGCCGAGCAACGCGAGATTTCTCCAGTCTAGATACATGCCGGCCACGAAGCAGACTAAAATTCCTAAAGGGCAGACGAAAGAGGAAAGAAAAGTTGTTGTGTACCATGTGTCTGCAACTGGTAACTGGAACGCAACCTTGGCAACATTGTTTCAGCGTTTCAAATATTAATGAAAAAATGATTGGTCGAGAAACGCGACACGATGCCATCTCTCGTCGAAATAAATTACCTACGTCGGTTTACGTTTCAAATGATTTTCCTCGAGAATTATTATTTCATTACTCGGCTGTCAAATAAATCGTAATTCGCTTCTAACGGAACAATTGTTCGAGTAGTTTTTGATTCTAATAGTTGTGGCTCGTCTTTTGCTGAAAGACTGTCAGATTCAAAGCATGGGCACAAAATGTACTCGACTCTGTTCGATATTTCAAGCTTTTGTCCATTTCATTTGCTCCCGTTTTACCTTGATTATCATTCTCTTTAAACGTTTAATCATTTCGTCAGCAAGTACAAGGGATTGTCGACGTTACTATAGCCGAAAGTAATAAGTAGTTTTCACTCTCGATCGATCGGTAATATTTAATATCGTGGAAGGATTATTACGTGTTAGAAATTGAAACAAACTTGCAAATGATTTACTACACAATTACGAGGCCGAGAGAAAGCCGCTGTTCCAAAATTAGCTACGATGACAATTAGCTCCTCTCCTCCGCTGTGAAGCTTGCACATTTTTCAAATGGAGAGACAAAACTTGCTCCTCACCCTGAGAGAAGATACACTCACCTGTGTTACCGAAAGCGGTTGGTAATAGTCCGAGGGTACCTCGCACTTCCGGTTGTATCGTTTCGCCGAGATAGACCGGTAGGGAGAGCGAGGCGATGCCCACGCAGAAACCGCAGAGGGCACGGCCGGTCAGCACCATCCCGACGTTCGTTGCCAAGGCGATCAGTAGCCAGGCTGAAAGAAACATCGGACATTATATTTTTTTTTTATCGATTAGTCGAAATTTCGTGTGGTGCATATTGGACCAACGAGAAGAGGAAGAAGAAGAAGAAGAAGGGGACATGGTACCTGCGATGAACGGCAACGCGGTGGCCAGAATAGTATTTCTTCTACCGAGGTACTCGATGCACGGGCCACCGGCTACGCCTCCAAAAAGTG